TATATATATATATATATATATATATATATATATATATATATATATATATATATATATATATATATATATATATATATATATATATATATATATATATATATATATATATATATATATATATATATATATATATATATATATATATATATATATATATATATATATATATATATATATATATATATATATATATATATATATATATATATGTTTATATGCATTGTTTATTATGATATTGTTTCTCACCCTTCTACTGTTTTATAATGCTCTATGAGGCATTGCAGAGTAGGATGCTGGAGGTCTTTTGTGAAGCGAGTCTTCATTTCTTTTTGGTCAGATGGCTCTGATATGTAACATTGGGTAGTTAGGAATTGTTATGATTCTTTTGTGATACATCTGTGTATGTATCTGCTGCTGAATGTTTTGTAAACTTAACTGATGAATTGAATTAGTCTGAATGTTGTATATGATGCTTATGTTAATGAAATGATTTCAATGTTTAGATGTTTCCGCTTTATTCTAAATATTGATATGTGGGTTTTAAGCGCTATGCTTTGTTAAAAGTTGAGATTTACCCCTTTTGTTACATATCTTTATGAGCTGGTATTATTTATGTTTCGTTTCATGGATAATGTGACGCGCCTCTTTTATATCATGTTATAATTATACTCTAATGGAATTTTATTAAGTGTCTAAATGATTTAATTGTTTATTTTGGGGGTATAGAAATGGGGTGTTACAATCGAGACTCACCAAAACTGGACCAAAACCTGTGTGCCAAGATGCATGACTCTCAAATAACATGCACTAACACAACAAGGTTCACCAAAAGGATCCTCACACACATCTCATCATTTATGCATCAAATCATTCATCATGCAACAATAAATTCATGTTACTATGTTAATAATATCCACAAACAATAACAACTCATCAACATCTTAACATCATCGACATAACAACATAATTATCAAACCACGATATTACAACAATGCAACGATTCGTCAACCAATCATATAAACTAATACATTTATTAACATAGTAGGCATGTGAATAATATTCAAACATATCAACAATCATTATATGTTATGGGTTTGAGCAATATCTTTCTAACGCTTTAAACGACATCAAAATCAGACTCACGGAATAAAGCTTATGACCAAAATCGTCGGAATATGTCAACAATTCATTAACCAAACGTATAAACAAAAACTTCACCAACACAATAGGAATAATACTCAAATAATTCACCTATCACCATCATATTATATCTATGAGCGCCAACTTTCTAACGCTTCAAACCTAGCCTAAAATGATTTACGAGTTAAAATTTATGATCAAAACCGTGGACGAAGGCATTATTAAAAAGTTTCTATTTTTCTAAAATTTTACCTCACGATTTTCATCTTCTTCAACCCCAAAAATGTCTATGCAATAATCACAAAAACCATTTTATCCATGAAACAAAGTTATAGCTCTTTGTTTCAGCTATCCAACACTTCAAACGAAACTCTATTTGAACTTACAAATCAAAAGTTATGGCCAAAACGATTTCAACCGAAAACACGAACAGTCGTGACGGACAGAATGCAAAATTTTCTGCATTTTTCATCGTTGGAGGCCCTTTAGACCTCCGATTTCGATTCCGTAAAAACCCAAACGCTAAAAAAATTACAACCCATGCAATACTATAATTATCTCAAGTTAGTTTACAATTGTAAAACAATTAAACCATCTAATCACTGTTTTAAAATTATGCCTAAAACCTTCGAAATTGCAATAATGGTGGATATATGTTCAATTCTCAAAACAGAAAAAAATACACACATATAAGGCACACAAATTCATCATATAATCATCATATAACAACCATTATAACACCACAATTCAAAATTATGAATCAAAACACTAAATCCTATGGAGGTTAAGACTTCCTCTATTATACCCTTTTACCATACCCTTTACTATTGGAACAAGTTCCCACCCTTATCTGAATTCCAGAAAAAAAACCAAACTTTTTGTTATGGCTTCTCCTTTCTAGAGCTCTCCAAAGGGTTTCCCTTTCTTTTCTCCACTCTTTCTTCTTTTTCTCCAATTCCAAAAGTTTCACGTACTGTGAACTTTTTCCCTAACTTCTCTCATTATAAATCAAAAATCTAATTCTATCTTTCTAATATTCCACTAAGACCCAACTTATTACTAACTTACATTATTTATTTTATTTTTCTACAATTCACACTTTCCACCCCAAAATCATTATTTTCTATTTAATTAAAATAAATTAAATAACCTACTATCATTCAATTCTTATTAAATTAATTCTAGTTAATCCTAAATAGTCTTCATTCTCTCTAAAACCTCAATCTCAAAGTGATGCACCCTTATGACCCACCCTTAACTAATTACTGCTCACAACAAATCAAATATATTTTTATAATTTTAAATAATTATATAACACACACACACACACACACGGAATAATTAAATAAAAACATAAATATAATATTAAATACTTTAATAAAATTTTGGGGTGTACATCCAACCACTCATTTTCAAACAAAAAATCCTTTATATCTTTAGGCTCAATTAATATAGAAAACAAAAATTTCTAGATCATGTTCTAATTTAAGAGGGACGAGTTCTTTAATATCCATGATGAAATATACCAATTTTTTTTAATGAATTGTCAGAAGAAACCGTCGTCTCATTTTGGGCATGAACGATTGAACAACTTCCTTTTGTCCTCGCACCATCCTAAAACAACTTTTTTAGACAATTAATCATCTACATTTTTCCTCGGTTGGATGATTATATCCATCGGTGTCAATTTTTTCATCATAAAAACAACAACAACACACAACACATATGTCATGTTATAAGAACACAAAACATATGCAACACACAAAATGAATTTTGTATATACTGCATAAAGCTCGTCCAACACTTGCACAATTATTGCTCTTGTGTTAAACTTCCTTCCAACTTTTTATCGTACCGAATCTACTAATATATCATGTCGTACATGTGGAACAAATGTGTAATACCCAATTTTTTACCCTTAAGATCACACATATCATTTGCATCTTTGCATACAAAAAAGATCATATTAGTCCTCCTACCCTCCTCTGTGGGCTTGCTTCCGAGGGAGATCACTAAGCATTTGTATTTTTCTTACTTGCTTTACGTTTGTTTCTGTTCACTAACCTCTAACCAAAATACAAAAAATATTTTGCAATTTGCTTGTTTCTTCTACTATGTGTGTTTAGGGTTTTGGAGGGAGATTGATGGCAAGAGCATGACTTAGAGTGAAGTGTGGTTATTCAGTTATGGTCAAGATCAGATGAAAGTTTGATCTAATCTTGGTAAAACCATCAAAGGATTGCTTGAATTGCAAATTGATTGTGGCAGTGGTCTATTTCTGGAACAATGTGTATCCAAGGTCAAATTGTCTTGTGTTGAAACTCATCAGGTTATCAAGAAGTGATTTATGAATTTTGGTCCAAGTTATCATGATCAAGAATCCATCAGTCCATTAGTGGTTTATCTGTGGATTTATTTTCTCAGAGACTGATTTACGCCAAATTCAAAGTGATTTAGAATTTATTCCATTTTGATCAGAGATTCAGAGAATTATGGTACAAATCAAAATGGGTGGTCATTGCTTAAGTTACAAGTTAGTTAGTGGTTCATCTATGAATTTATTTTTCTCAATGGTGATCCATGATCAGGGTAAAGTTCAAAATTGACTCAAATGATTGTTACTTCAAACACAAGTTATTCAGCGGTCCAAGTTTTGTTCAGTCATTTTAATTAGTTGCTTTGAGAAAAAGTTTGGGATTGGTTTTGGATTAAAGTCAAAATTGCATATCCGTTTTGATTACCATTTCTGTCCATTCAATATCCCATTCACATTTCTAAATTCACATTCAAATATCACAAACCAATTTATCCATTATGTTTTTTTCCCTTTTATCCAAATCCATTGTATTCGAACCAATGATCTTTACAAGATTTCTCTACGGTTACTATATTCAACCGTGGTAAAATATAAATTATTTTTAATTTAAAAATAAATAAAATAAAATAATTTAATTTTCAAGATGTCACAACAGTTCTTTACATAACTGTAGGCGCCATAGTATGTATTATTTGCAATAGTAAAAGAGTCATAAAGTAGTTTTAGAGTCTGAATAACAGAATACTTGAAATCAAGCTAATATTTATATAGAGTGGACGTTAAATCAGTTCCCTTTGTTTTAGAGTCTGTTTATTTTAACTTTAAAAAAATGAATTTTTTTCTTTATATTTTAAAAAATGGATTTTATAAAACCATTTTTCAAAATATTATAAGTTTTTTATATTTGTTATTCTTCTTAAATTGAAAGACTAATTTTGACATCCTATAACATAAATATATATTATTGAAGATCAAAACATAGTCGAAATTGCAATTTTTTTAAAAAGTTGTATTTCAAGAATAATTTTTATGAAAAACTATTTGAAATAGCTTCAAAATTAAGAGATTTTTTAAAATTTTGATATTTAAAAAAAAATCAATAAAACCATGAAATATCTAAAATAATATTTTAAAAGTAATTATTCAATATAAATTTTTATGAAAAGTTTTTTTTTAAAATTTTTTTTACACAAAATTATATTAAATTATAAAAATCATTAAAAAAAAAAAAAGGCAAAAGCGACGGTTTGTTCCAACATCTTTTTCATAGTCTATGACCCATATAAAATGTCAACTTAGATCCCTTAAAAAAAATCATCTTAATATATACAGCTGTTATAATTGTGATGTTCGATTAATAAAAAAGTTCTATATATTTCAATCAATTATTTATCTAATTTCGTCAAACAGTGCTATAATATGAAACTTGCTTGTGGGTGGAGCACATGACTATTAGTTTTATTCAAATCATCACAAATTAATCTTCTATTTAAGAGAATGGATTTCCATCTTATGAGTAGAAACAATAATAGAGAGCATAGACATGGCTTTAATGGGGAAAGTGGAGACTGAAATAGAGTTTCAAGCACCTGCTGATAAGTTCTATAATATCTTCAGAAACCAACTTCATCATATTCCTAATATCTCTACAGAAATAGTGCAGGAAGGTAGAGTGCATGAAGGTGACTGGGAAAATGTTGGTTCTGTGAAACACTGGGAATATACATTAGGTAATTAAGGTTGATATGTTTCATAATTTTATTTTGCTTATATATATATATATATATATATATATATATATATATATATATATATATATATATATATATATATATATATATATATATATATATATATATATATATATATATATATATATATATATATATATATATATATATATATATATATATATATATATATATATATATATATATATATATATATATATATATATATATATATATATATATATATATATATATATATATATATATATATATATATATATATATATATATATATATATATATATATATATATATATATATATATATATTTTTCCTAATAATCAATGAACCCTAATTTGAATACATGTGAATCCATGCAGAAGGAAAAACACAAAGTGCTAAAGAAAAAATAGAGACTATAGATGATGAGAATAAGGTAATCACATATAGTGTCTTTGGTGGGGAAGTGGGTGAGAGTTACAAGAGTTTAAAGGTAACAATACAAGTGATTGATAAGGAACATGGTGGGCTTGTTAAATGGGCTTTTGAGTATGAGAAACTGAAGGAGGATATCACAGCTGCATCTCCTGATTCATTCTTGGACTTTGCTGCAAAGGTCACAAAAGATATTGATGCTCATCTTGTCAAAGAGTAGCAACAAAGATGAAGTGTGTGTGGCTAGAGTGTGCTATTGCTTATCAAATAAACTTTGTTGTGTTGTGTGCATTTTTTTTTTTATGGCTAATAACTTTAAACTCAAGTTATTCTAAATGATTCATCTTTATGTGGAGGTCATTAAGTATTCGAGATCAATCAATTGGTTTGTTGTGATAGGTATGTGTTAATGATGTAATTTGGAGTTTAAAAAACTCATCTCATCTATTGAATGAGTGAAAGTTACACGAGAAAATACAGTATGAGAATATTTTATATATGGAGAGATCTAGTGGAAGTTAGTTAACAAACTAACTAACATAACTAATCATAACCAACTTCTAATAATAGAAAATAGATGAATATAGTTGTTACTTCTACAACATGTACAATTAAAATCCTCACTTAAATTAGACTATGGATATTACATAGATCTAACTTGGATATGATTTTAAAGAAGTTTGTAGTTATAACTCTTCGCTCTGCTCTTGTAATACTCTTGTAATACTGTTGTATTTTAACTATATTTTGTTTTATTTGTATAATCTTTTTAGTTTTTAGGCATTTAATAATATTCATTATGTATAATTAATAATTTGTATATCAAAATCATCTATTAGTGGATAGATTCTTATAATCTCAGTTTTATGAGAATTGTGTAAATCATAGATCTATTTTAACTTAGTTTCAATTTCTACTATGAAAAATTTAGAAATACTAAGACTTTTAAGATTTTTACGAATGTTTCTATGAAAAAGAGATAATTTCATATATAAAAGTCATACGATTAAATCAACACATGAAAATGTTTTTTCTTTAATTTAAAAAGTTTTGTTCTTTAAACATAGTTTTTCTTAACAAATCTTATTACCGAACAAATTATGAAAGTAGGCAATTCAGGGATCTAAGATACAATTATATACTCTAAAATGAGATATAATTTACAATTTTGTATTTAAAATTTGTAAAAGCTGAATTTCTTTCTCAGGATATAGTAAGAGCAATGATGTACATGGTTTGTCTTAGATAATATTTAAATATGTATTTCATTGTTTTAGAAAAATTAGATTTGATTTAGAAATATTAGATTTGATTTAGAAATATTAGATTTGATATTTTTAGGCTTTTATAGTTTGAGTTTTGTCTTGGAGTGCAAGCTAACCTAAATAAAACCCTTATTTTGTAAACATTTCATCTCATCATATTTTGTAATTCACAGTTTGCAGTTGCAAGTGAAATAACATAATTTTTACAGTTTGTGGGCCGAGAGTTCTCTGCAGAAAATTGTTCATCTTCTTCTTCTCCAACGTTTACTTTCTTTCTTTTAAAACTTTTCTTTCATTGTCATTACGTGAGTTGAAACAATCTTGAGATCAAGAATGATTGAGTGAAATTCTCCATAGGTTGTGGTTGAATTTCTAACATTTGGTATCTAGAGCTCCGGTTACAATTCAAGGAAGGAAAATCGTGATGGTGATAAATCATCCAAACAGTCACTTTCTGACAAACCTTCCAATTCTCAAGAAATATAATTATGAGAATTGGTGCAAGCATATTAAGGTGGTTTTTGTAACACCCTTTTCTACCCCACGAATATTATGGAAAAATAATAGAATTTATTAGAGTAAAATTTTAAACACCATAAAAATCACCTCAAATGGCGTACATTTCTCAATAAATTCAAATCAAGGTCAATGCTTCGTAAGCAACGAGTTTTCTCAAAATTACTCAAAAGTGCTCAAATGGCAGCAAAACTCAAAAAGACAAAAATCTAAAGTTTTCCTTTGACCGCAAGGAAATCAACATAACAAAAACTCAATAAAATAGTTTGACTCAAGTACCCCAACCCGATGTTACACTATCAGAGCAAGACCCTCTAAGTCAACCACAATGACCAACGACCCAAAAACTTCAAAAGTCATCGACGACATCCACAGTTAAACCTGGTCATCTGCACGTTACCCATGTGGAGGCAACATTCAAACAGGCAGGGTGAGTAAAACGATTCATAATAATTAATATAGGAATCAATATATAAAACAACGTCATTTTCATATTAAACATCATCATAATCATCAAGGAACATCAAAGGTCACAACATTATAAATTACACCAAATTGTCACATAAATGCAAATGTAACAAGACTCATGCATGTGGTGCCAATCATCACAGCTCGACGGACACCGTGTAACACCCCAAATTAATTGGAATATTTATTTAATTTATTTAAATATGAATATTGGCATTTTCGGTGATTTTCGGTGGTTAGTGTGAAATATTGAGAATTATGGATTTTGGGTTATTTATTTAAATAATAGTATATAATATGAATATATTGATATGATTATTAATTTAAATAAATATAAGTTAACTAAGGGAAAATTGGACAATTAAGGAGGAGTTAGTGAGGGTAATATTGGAAAAGTCCAATTTTAAGGCCCAAGGGTAGGTTTAACAAAAAAAGATTTTTGAGGAATTAGAATTCGTTCTTGTTAGACCGTGAAAAGGGAAGAAATAGAGGGCAGAGCTCTGAAAAAGGGATTTGAGGTAAAAGCTTCGCAAGGTTTTCTGAGAATAAAGGAGAAAAAGCTTAGAATCAGCAATTAAGGTATGGGGAGTATTGCCTTCATTATTTTCAATGTGTGATTTCAATGTGTTTAAAGCCGATTTAAGGGTTTAAAGGGTTTGAGGCTGATTTTGAAATAAAGGGAATTAGGCCTTCATGACCAAATTTTATTATTGAGGTTTTAACCGTATAGGGATTTGAACTAATGGTCTGATAGGTTTGAGGGAAAGTAGGCCTTCGTTGCAAAAATCTGTCGTTGAGGTTTCAACCCTTTAGGGTAATTAGATAGTGAGAAACTCTAATGACTGTGGTGTAGTTGTAAAGAAATTATGGGAATTAGAGCGTGAATATGATATGGGATTGGCCTAATAAGTCGTAGATTTTGTTCCTTTATCGCCGTAAGACCTTAGGGATGGTTTAGGGATGTTTTTGGGTTATTGGGAAAGTGAATCGTTGGACTTTTGGGTTGATTTTAGGTTCTAGTGCGTAACAGTGTTTTGCTGTAATCGCGTGTTCGCACAACGAACGAAATTCGTCCCAGACTCGCACAATGAAGAATCCTTCGCACAACGAATAAACTCGCCCCAGACTCGCACAACGAACTTGCTAGTGAACATAGCAGAGTTTCACGAATTCAGATTTTTGTGCAGTGACGCCTTGGTGTTTTGATGCTGTGATTTCGTTGACGAATTAATATGAGTATCACCGTGATTTCTATGTGATTAGTACATGATTATAAGATGATTCCTATGAGTAACGATGATGAGCTATGATGATATTTCCATGATTTTTTGATGATTCTATGATGACATGATTTATGACGATGATTTTGATGATGATGATTTTGATGAATGATGATGCACCTATGATGTTATTATAAGGATGATTATTGATGTGTGCATCATGCATTCATGTGCATCCGAACTTCGGTTCTGGACCTTGATTTCTTTGGCTTCAGTCCCATTGTGCGGATGTGAGGTATTTTGATGTGCTCTGATTCTCGAGTAGAATCGATCCTATTAGTGGGGATCTATGGAGGGTTGATGACTCAGTGTCTATCGATCTGTGATGATTGGTACCACATGCATGAGTCTTGTTGCATTTGCATTTATGAGATAATCTTGAGTAATTTATGATGTTGTGGCTTTTGATGCCCATTGATGAATATGATGATGTTGAATATGAAAATGACGCCATTTTATATATTGATTTCTTACATTGATTATTATGAATCGCTTTACTCACACTGCCTGTTTGAATTTTGCCTCCACGTGGGTAACATGCAGATGACCAGGTTTAGTCATGGATACCATCGAGGACTTTTGAAGTTTTGGATCATTGGCCATTGTGGTTGACTTAGAGGGTCTTTCTCTGATAGTGTAACATCGGATTGGGGTCTTTGAGTCAAGCCTTATTTTATTGATGTTTTGTTACGTTGATGGCCTTGCGGCGCAAGGAAAACTTTGGATTATACCTTTTTGAGTTCCGCTGCCTTTTGATGAAATTTTAATAACTTTTGGGAAAGCCCGTTGTTTACGGAGCTTTGACTTATATTTGATTTATTGAGAAATGTACGCCCTTTGAGGTGATTTTTTTAGTTTAATATTTTACTCTGATAAATGTGATTATTTTGCCATTAAAATTGTGGGGTAGAAAAGGGTGTTACATTAGTGGTATTAGATCTTGGTTAGTCCGTCTGGAAAAGTTTTTATGTTGTTAGTCCCTTGTCAGTCAGTAGTGTGAGAACACTATTGGATGAGTTGTTTCTTCTAACCCTGTTGGTGGTTTCAGATGGATGGAAGAAATGATCGTGCTATTGCTGATTCGCTGGAATCACTTGCCTAAGTGATGACCCATAATGGTGGACCTCCAAATGACTTTCGTGCTTTGGGAAAGTTTTAGAGGAACAATCCGCCGAGTTTTGTGGGAACTCATGATCCTGATGGTGCACAGAAGTGGATGAAAGTGATCGAGAATATTTTCCGAGTTATGGCTGTTGCACCCCAAAATTTGACCAACAATTATTTATTCATTGAGTGTTTGAAAATTGATACCTTCATCAGAAAGTTCAAGAGATCCTCAGAGGAGTGGGTTGAGACCATGGTTGTGTGCTTCATAGCTTGAGAGTTGTGGGTGCTCCTCAGATGATTCTGAGACTTTGAGAATGAACTTGATGTTTTGAGAAAGCCTATGAGATGTCTTGATAGCCATCATGAAGCCCAGAGAGGTCATTATGCAAGAGTTCAGAAGATTCAACCATGAATGGTAGAATTAGGGTTTTGACTGGGTCAACCCTGGGATAACTAAAAATTTGGAGAAGGTTGAGACCTAATCCAAGGGCCATGAGATCATGGAGTGATGCATAGAGATGTTATGAAGATGATTCCTAGACCAACTCATCATGATTGAAGGGTTTGAGAAGTTTCAAGTCAGG